ACATTCCGATCCGACCCGTTTTTTCGATTCGATGTTGATTGATCTTGCTTTGGAGGTGCATGAATACCCTTTACTCATGACCCCTGCTTACTGTAAGCCCAGTATCCGACGACGCGAACAAAATTCAGCGCGAAGGAACATCACTGCCGGAGTCCTATACCCAACATTTCTGCTATATTTTTCGTGCCGGATCGATCTGTGAGGGCCCAGGGGCCCGACACCGGGCCGGAAACGCCCGGCCCCAGAGGTTCCGATCCAGTCCGTCGCTCTGGATGCATTTCTGATGGCTCCCCGGGCCCGCCGAGAGCTGTCCCGATCGAGGGCCGAGATCGAGTGGAATCGTCCATCTGACAAATTGCGACGCCAGGACCTCCGGGTCGCCCCTCGATCCCCTCCCTCCAAACCTCTGCTCATCCGTGCCTTCACTGGCTACAGCGTCGGCGTTGCTGGGGAAGCGGGCGGAGGGTACCAGAAGACACGAAAGCGATACCTCTACCACCAACGCTGCCACCTCCAAGGCAGTTTACGATTCCGATGGCAAATCATGGGAGCCTGGTATAACCTCTCAATATCCGTCTTCAGCGTCGATTAGCGTCGGTTAGCGTCTGGAGTCGATGAGATAGCGCCGGTTTGGCGTCGGTTAGCGTCGATCCGCAAGAGCCGACAAGATGGAATGGGAGGCTCCCATGAGTTGCCACCGAACACGACTCCTCTCCGAGCTGGGGATAGGGCATGTCTCGAGCGGGGAGGGGGAACCACACCACCAGTGGGACCCCCCCTAGCTGGCTCCTCGCGCCGGTGCGGGAGTTGATTGTACTTCTTCCTGGGGTGTCGGCAGATGCCTCCAATCCACCTTGATGAGCCGATTTTCCACCACCACTACCATAAGTAGGAGAGGAAGGAGGAGGAGGACGACGAGGAGGAGGAGGAGGAGGAGGAGGGAGGAGGAGGAGGAGGAGTCCACCGCTCGCTCCCGGCGAGCGTCGGCCTGACGACCTCCTCCTGCGCTGTCGTGGCCTGGCCCCTCCTTCCCTGCTGGCGGCGCCCTCCATTCGGAGAACAAGCAATGGCACAAGCATGCATTTCCGGAGTTCCGCTGGGTCCGGCGGCATCTGCGGCGCGGCCCCTGGCGCGCTCCGCGCGCCATGGAGGGGGTTCCGGCGCCGCTCCAGCAGTTCCGCGCGGACATCCGACACGTTATTCTCATGCCACGCTCAGTTCTCCGATTCATGGTGCGCCCTCGAGGGGCCTCGCCTGGAGGGGCCCCGCCCACGTCGCTCTGCGCATCACTTTGGAGTCCGTTCGCGCAGAGTCCGCGCGGAACGAAAGCGATACCTTCACCACGAAGGCTGCCACCTCCAGCGAGGCAGTTCACGACTCCGATGGCGCCCTGCGCCGCACCGACGGCAGCATCAACGCCTGTGCCTTCGCCGGCAACAGCCCCAGCGCCTACATGTGCACCTACGCCGCCACAAACGCCAGCGCCTAACGCCATCTCCGACTCCAGCACCGACGACAGGCCCAACGCCAGAGCCTACGCCAGCTTCGACTCCAGCACCGTCGAAAGGCCCAACTCCTGCGCCTACGCCAGCTCCGACTCCAGCATCAACGCAGGCGCCTGCGCCGACATGAACGTCTGCGCCTGCACCAGCACCGACGCCAGCTCCGAAGCCAGCACCAATACTGGCGTTTCTCCCAGCACCCACTCTTTTTGTTCGACGCAAGCGGAAACGCTTACACCTACGGTGGCTCCAACGCCGTCGCCTAGTGTTCTGGCCGAGTCCAGGGCAGACGCCCTCCCACAATCCATCGGCCACGCGGCGGACAGCTACAGGCCTGCCGGCCTCGATTGACAGAATGCACGACGGGGGCCATGGCGGGTACTACGAGCAGCTCAACGGATACCCGAAGTTGCAATGCACGACGGATACGATGAGCAGTGACGCAGGTCTGGCTTACATTGGGCCGCAGCTAGGTGGCCAGAGCTCGGGAGACAAATCCTGCCTCCCCTTCACACAGAGCACTTCAAAATGTCACGGAGATTGCGCGTGCGCACCAGCGTTAGCACCAATGCAGGCGCCTTCGCCGGCCTCGACGCCAGCACCGACACCAGCACAAGCGCCGGCGCATTCGCCGGCACCGACGCCAGCACCGACGCCAGCATGAACACCTGCGATTGTGCCAACACGGTCGCCAGCGACTACACCGGCACTGACGCCAGCACTGACGCGAGCACGAACGCTTGCGCTTGCGCCGGCACCCACGCCAGCGCCTACACCAGCACCGACGCCAGCACCAACGCCGACGCCAACACCAGCACCGACGCCAGCAGCCGACCCCATCGCCGAAGACGGCAGAGTACCAAACACCATCAGCGCCGTGCAGACCCGGCACCCGCAGACGCAGCCGCAGCCGCCTCGGCAGCCCGAGGATGAACGGGACTCAATGTAGCTTTCTTGGGCACTGTCCAGGTCCCTTGGCGGTCCGGGGTCCTTCGGTGGGGCAACTGTTTCTTCAGTTTTTGGGGTCCGTTTCTGTTAGCCTACAGGTTCTGCCCTCAGGACCTGTGCCGGAATCGGGCCAGACCACGTCGTGGCGCTGCGCCACGGGTACTCGCACCGCGGCGTGGAGCAGCACGATTGTGTGCGGAAGAACGTGGCGGACCTCTCCGGGTGCACCGTGTCGATGTGAGTTTCGTTGGCGGCCCCAGCCCGCCTGGCGGCGACCGTTTAGGTCGCCACAGGGCGTTGCAGTCAGCACAGGGCGTTGCAGTCAGCGTTCCTCGCCCTCGTCCTCTTCTCCTCTTCTTTCCCTTCTGGCTTGTGAGTGGCTTCGCGTCCTGGCCAGGCGGAGGAGCGGCCCTGCGGCTCCGCGGGCGCCGCCCCGCCGCCAGACGCCTCGAGATGGCGTTCCCCGCCTCCCCTCCTTCCTCGTCCTTGTCCTCGTCCTCCCTCCTCCCCCTTCCTCCTGGTCGCGGTGCCGGCTGGTTCCAGGCCGACTGTAATTACGTGGTGCGGTCCGGCGAGTTCCGATGAAACTGCAATACCCCGTCAGTTCTTAGGAGAACGCGCGGCCGTTAAGGGTGATTCGATATCGTGGAGCGCGAATTCTGGTCCAGGGGGCCATGTCTATTGCGTCCGTTGCCAGTTCCGGCGCCGCTCTGTCCAGGTCGCTTGGCTGGCGCGGGCTTTGTTGCGACGCTCGGCGAGGGCGATATTCCTCCTCCTCCCCTCCTTCTCGTCTGCGTCCCGCCCTCCCTCGCCTCCCCTCCCCCCTTCGTGCGTGCTTGCGTTGTGTTGCACAGCACGGGGTGATATGCGCAGTTGCACCTTCGCGATCGCCGCGCGCCTCTGTCCTGCGAGCGTGGCTGAATCTCCAGGCCTGCGTTTGCAAGTGCTACAATTGTTGACACTGTAGCCTGCACCTGTATTCCTGGTGCCAGCACTGCGTGCTCAGATCTGGGGTGGAACAGCTGGCAAATCGGTTTAGGGCCTGCATTGGCGCCTCTCCCTCCCTCCTCTCCTCCTCCCCTCCTCGTTATCTATCTCTCTCTCTCTCAATTGGTGCATGTGCACTGCTTGTATGCGGGTCGAGGCCACTTCCTCGCCCGGCACTGCCCGACCCTGTAGGCCACCGCCCTGGTTGTCCTGGGCCCGCCTTAGGCTTGCACAGTGCTTTCGGCGGTGTGTGGCTCTCTCATGGCCGCCCTTTTTCATTTTGTTCCATGTGGATTCTGAGGTGTGCATCGCACCCAGATGTGGTGCAACATGGATTGCTATTTATGCTCACAGGCCTGCCATACGCTTCAATTTAGCTGTTGTAAGTTTATTAGTATCCCTCCTGTGTGTTCTTCCTCCTTCCCCTTTCCCGCTTCAGCTTGTGGCTTTGGGACCCGTGGATGTGTTCGTAACAGCCATGTCACCGCATGGTTTCCAACTTGGTACGCACTGCGTGTATTCCTGTCCTGAGACGGTGTGTGGGGCCTCATTTTATAAGTGGTCAGTGGGACCATCTTGGGATTGATGCACACAGCGCCTTTGACCATTACCGTTGCCTCCTCCTGCTTTTCTCCGTCTGTCGCTTCTCCCCCCTCCCTCCTTCGTAACCGTTGTTGGCAACCGTGCTGCCCACTCGGTCAGCTGTTAGTTTCTATTCGGGCTCCTCGCTCGCCGGTTTTAGTATGGTGGGGTCCCCTTCCCATCAGTAGGGATGCTGGCACTGTTCATCATCAAGGTTTCTTGCATGAAAAAATCCGATGGCGCCCTGCGCTTTATTTCGGAGTCCGTCCGCGCAGAGTCCGCGCGCGAGGCCACGCAGAGCCCGCGCGCGAGGCCACGCCGATGCCGCGTCGGTTCTGCAGGGAGGCCCCTCTCCGGCGGACCGCCGGCCCTGGCGTGAACTGCAATGCACTGCGGGACATACCCACCGGTCGTTGAAAGTAGGTATTTTTCAAATAGGATTCCTATGGCTTCCTACGGATTCCAAATAGGATTCCAAACATGATTCCCTGTGGATCCTGAGCTCGGATTCCTATGTATTCCTATGGTTTCTTTTCCTCCCGTCCTCTCCTCCCCGTCTTCTCTTTCTCTCGCTCTACTCGTGTCCATATATCTATTTGGAGTCAACGATGGCTGGTATTTCTGGAGTCCCAGATTCCAATCTACGTGAGGCGCCTTCCTGCTTCAATGATCGAGTGGCTTCACCTCTTCCGTTCTCTTCGGGGGGCGGGCGGACACCCAATCTACTTTCAACGCCTTCCTACTTCATGCGTCTACCCACTTTTTTTCCGACCGAAGGGTACGCCTGAGCGCGTGGGCGTGCAGACACGCCGCTCGAGGCCGATGCACTACGAGCGACAGCGCGCGCGGCCCCTGTTGAAGGGGGGCTGGCGGACAATCTCACGAAAGGAGGAAAGCAGGAAGCAGGGGAGGGAGGGGAGGAGGGAAGCACGGAGGCAACGACTGCAACACGCAATCAAGGGTGATAACCCCGGCGCGGAGGTACTACATAAAGGTGGCCATGTGGAGCACCATCCGCCCAGTGGACGAGGAGTCGCTCAGGAGCGGGCCCCGTGCCCCCCCATCGGTCCTCTGCTCTCGTCGTTGCTCGCCCTCTTTGCTCTTCGCCTCCTCGGTCAAAAACGGCCCCCCCTCACTCCTCTTGAGAGATAGCCTGGCCAGCTACACCGGACCCCCCAACAGAGGAACGCAAAGCATCCCATTTGTAATAGAAAAAAGATCACGCCGAAGTACGAGTACGAGAAATGTGCTGTGCAGAAGCACGAAGTACAGAAGTTCAGAAATCCGAAGCGTGAGGAACGTGTGTGAGAGTTACGTTTGTCACACTTTTTCACACTTCGTTTTTATTTGTCGTACTTGTTTATACTTTGAGTGTACTTTGGATGTGCGCTCGTCCGTTGTTCGTATGTGTTTCGTACCCGTACTTCCGCGTTGCACATATTTCAAACTTGCGTTTCGCGGACTTCGCCTGGCTCGTTCTTTGGATCCGTATGTATTGTACAGTCGTGCTATTGTGTCATACGCGTACATGCACTTTTCTTTTACTAGGCTAAAATCGAGGATCTCCTTGTCTAGCTCCCTTCGGATCGTTGAACACTCCACTGCCACCGTTCCCCTCCTTGTTCCCCGCGCTCCTCGCGCTCTCTGCCCTCGCCCTCCCTGCTCTCGTCGTCCTCGCCCTCGCCCTCGTTCACGCCCTCGTCGTCCTCCTTGCCCTCCTCCGACGGAGAACTACCTGCATGACCATGCCCTTTCGGAGGCCCGCACAGATTTTTATGGATCGGCGCTGGCGCTCGTGTGCATCAGTGTTTGGTGCGATGCCAGCTCAGGCCAGGGGTGGCGCTCAGGTGATTGACTATGAGTCCTCCCCCTCGTCCTCCTCGTCCCCTTCATTCCGCAGCCATTTTGGCACAACCAATTTTGGCTCGAGCTCGCTCGGCTGGCAGATGTTCCCAGAGCTGTACCGCTTCTGTATGCCTACTTGAGCGCCTTTCTTAGGAGTCCCTCTTCAAGATGAACGCTGGGATGTTGCTGCTCGTGCTAACCTGCTTGTCGCATTGTGGGGGCATCACTTTGTGCTGGTTGTCGGAGTTTTTCATTATCTGGGGTTGAACAGTCCCACCGCGCTGGCTTTTCGTTGGCGTGAGTGTCTCCGATTGAGCGGGCTTTTCGCGGTCCTGGCTGTCTCCATTATTTGAGACATCCGTGGCGGTCGTCAGCTGGTTCTGCTACTCCATTTCTTGGGGCTGTTCCGCTGAGGAGGTACCTTATTTTCGGGTGCGACGGTCTTCAATGTGGTCGTGGTTGTCTCCTGCATGTTCGGCCAGGGCCTGTGTTGCCGACTGCCTTTGGGCTACCCCCTGGTGGCGTCTTGCGGCGCTTCGGAAGGCGGTTGCGGTGGCGGCGCGAGGTTGGTTCATGTGTTTAGGTTCACCTTCACAGTTGTATCGGGCGTTTTCTTGTTCTCATCTCTTACAGCTTGAGGTGCTGTACTATTTCGTTCTCATCTCCGAAGTGTGCCTACAGTACGGGGCCGCTCTGGCATGGCTCTTCAATGACTGACACGGCTCATATTCGTGGTGGTGGAGGTCGCCCTGGTTTTTGTTAAGTACTGAGCTGCCTGTGGTCCTCCCCTTCGCCCCCTGCCTTCCTCGTCGTCGTCCTCCTCCCCTCGTCGCCGCCCTCGCCCTCGTCTCCTCCCTCCTCCTCGCCCTTCTCATCCTCCTCGCTCCTTGCCCTCGGTGTTTGCCGACAGGTGGGGCATGTTGGGTTGCCTCTGCTGATCTGTTTTCGTTGTCCTCGGCCTCCTCGTCATCGCCACCCTGCTCTTCCCGTTTCCTGTCATTCGTTGTCCTCGTTCTCGCCTTCCTTCTCCTGGTCCTCTCCCTCTGCCGTCTTCAGACTTTCAGCCTTCAGACTCTCACAATCCTTCCGTATTCTCCTTCTTCTTTTCTTCCTGTCCCCTCTCATATTCCTCATCGTCCTCCTCCTCCTCCTCCTCTCACTTCGCCCTCCTCGCATTCTTCCACCGTCTCCTCCAGGGGCAGCATCAGGTGGACGAGGAGGAGATGAGATGACGGCGGGGGAGGCGGAGGAGGAGGACAAGGAGGCGGGACCACGAGGAGCGGAGGAGCAGGAGGAGGAGGAGGCAGTGGAGAGGAGGGGTACCCGAGCACGAGTAGGGGGATGTGAGGAGGAGGATGGGACGAGCCAGCGTACGACGCACGCGGGCGGACGGCGTTTGGCCGTCGGGTTCGTGGCAGAGCTGCGCCCGCCAAGGAGCGGTTCCGGAGCTTGGGGGGCGCACGGGGAGCAGGGTGACGAGCGGGAGCAGAGCGCTCGGGGGGGCGGGGGGGGGTAGCGGAGGACGAGCTGGAACGGAGGACGAGCGGGAGCGGAGTCGGAGGGAGGACGAGACGGCGAGCAGGAGGAGAGCGGGGGTGGTGGAGGGGAAGTGCAGGGGGGGGGGGAGGAGGGGGGGAGGAGGAGGGTGAAGAGGAGGAGGAGGGTGAGGAGGAGGAGGAGGAGGAGGAGGAGGAGGAGGAGGAGGGGTGGAAGGAGGAGGAGGAGGAGGAGGAGAGGAGGAGGAGGAGGGGAGGGAGGCGGGGGAGGAGGAGGAGGAGGAGGAGGAGGAGGAGGCGGAGGAGAAGGAAGAGGTGGAGGAGGAGGAGGAGGCGGAGGACGAGCAGGAGGAGGACTAGCGGGAGAAGTTTCGGAGGGGGGAAGGGAGGCCGAGCAGGAAAAGAGCGGGAGGAGTAAGTGCAGGAGGAGGATGTGCAGGAGGAGGAGGAAGGGGAGGAGGAGAAGGAAGTGAAGGAGGGAGGAAGTGCAGCGGAGGGTTGAGGAAGTGCAGGAGGAGGATGAGATCTCTTCGTCGTAGGATGATCATCACCGAGACGGGTACCCAGTACCGCATAATTCGGCAACGCGCAACCAGGCGTAGGAATGGGGCAAGGAAAGGCACATGTTCTCTTCGGGCTGGTGCAGGAAAGTGGCAGGACAGCGCCTTCTTTCCTGCATCGGGGAGAGCCTTTCAGTGCGGAGTCGAGAGGAGGAGGAGTAGTAGGAGGAGGAGGAGGACGAGGATGATGAGGAGGACGAGGTCGACCTTGTCCGAGGCGAGGATTAATCCACAACTAACCATCGCCTGAGGGATCAATTTTCGGGAACCTGCGCAGGCGTTGGATATGGAGAGAGTCGGGCCCCTTGGGCCCTTGGGGGGGGGACAACTATATCCGTATTGTTTTCATCGCCTGACGACACGTCCCCGAAGATGATCCCCCAGGCGGCGGTTATGGATAACCCCCCTTGCGTCGCAACCAGGACGTGAGGGCAGTGGGGCACCCCATCCCTTCGCTTATGCCCGCTGCCCACGCGCACTCCAGGAGCATCGGCGTGGACACGAAGGCCGCCGACGGCGAGGTCCCGGGCCAGGCCGCGGCACCCCTTGCCTCCAAGTGCTGCGCCCCCTCCCCTGCAGGTGCGAGGGCGGCCACGAGGGGGTTGATGACTAGGGGGAGGCCAAGAGGGGGCTGATGACTGGTGGGTTGTGGTTGTCCCTGGGAGCTTTTCGGACGTCTTCGTCAGTTCTTGGAGGTTTTCTCCTCCCAGGGTGCTTTCCAGCAGCTGCGCCTCTTCGATGGCTTTCCTGGGATGCCCGCTTCAGGCCGGAGATGTGACCATCTGGGTCGCGCACGTCACGTGAGTGTGGTGGTGACTACATGGAGAGGGGTGGAGATATGGCCGGGGCCGCGACAGTTACCCGATTCCCTGGTCCCCTCCCACTACGCGTCGTCTGGCCCTCTTGGCCGCGCGCGTGAGGGGGGTGATGACTAGAGGGGGGAGATATCATGGCCCAGGGGCCATGATTCCTCCACAGATTTCTTGGCCCCTCCTCTTTTTCGTACTGCAAGCGCGACCTCTGGCCATCTGGGCAGCGCGCATGCATCGGGCCGTGATTTGCGACCGCCCTGCTTGGAAGCCTTCCCCCCCCAGGACATCCCCGAGAGGTGCGAGTTGGAGGAGAATGGTGGTTTCGAGTTCTTCTGTTCTCGCTTTTCCGCATGTTCTCGGCGGCTTCTAAACCCCAGGATGCTTCCCAGGAGCTGCACCTCGCCCAGAGCGTTCTGGGGGGGCCTGGATCGTCCCGGGCGGCGGTGAGGAGAAGTGGGGAAGGCACGGGAGTTGCAACTGTTCCTTCTCGGGTCATTCGAATGGGCAGGGAGCCTGAGCCTGCGCCCTCCCTCGGGGGCCCCCGAGAGGCGGTGCGGTGACCCTGCCGTGCGGTGAGTCGGTCGTAGATGGCGAGTGACCGCACGGTCGTGGGGCTTGGGCCGTTCTGCGAGGTGGTCTCGGGCGATAGGGGGCCTCCGAGGCCCCAGACCAGCGCGGTGACGGGCCGTGCGGTAAGGTCTCAGGGGAGTTCGAGGTCACCGCACGGTCTGTCGCCGCGCTGTTTTAGAACCCCCTCGCCTGTCGCCCGCAGGCGACCGGGGAGATGCTTGGAGATTTGTGTACTGGCGACGCCAGCAGGAGGAGGAGGAGGAGGAAGAGGAGAGGAGGAGGAGGAGGAGGAGGAGGAGGAGGAGGAGGAGGAGGAGGAGGAGGAGGGGTAAAGGAGGATGAGGAGGACGAGGACGAGGAGGAGGGAGGAGGATACTCGGTGGTTCCAGAATCGTGCCCGGAGCGGGGGGGGGGTGCCAGCTTGGGCCAGGGTCACCCCTGGCAGCCCCCGCACGGTGAAGGCGGTGTTCTGCGGTTCTGCACCAGGGGTTCACACGAACACCCTGAAAACGTAAATGCCAGTTGTTTGACATGGTGTGCAGGCTGGCTGCTTCTCCGCTTCTGTTCGTTCCTTCGCTCCTGATTGTGCCTTCGCTGACGCCACCGCTCCAGAGCACCCTCAAAAAGCTGCCCAGCACATCGTTGCTGGAGCCGCGTCGCCGCCGCTACCCCCCCTATCAAAGATGTCCAGTGTCCACGGCCCACCCAAAGCATCCGACGACTAGATTGTTTCGTGACGCGGTTCGCTTCGGGGCGCCCCGCCGTGTGCTCGACCGACGCCTGCTCGCGCGCGGACCCAAACAATGTTTCGTGGCACGGGCCCCCGTGCCTCTCGACCACCTCCCCCAGGGCTGACTTTCTTCCTGGGCCGTTTCTTCGGCGGCCACGGTGACCCCAGGACAGCTACTCGGTTTCGAAGCATGTCTTCGGGTGTTAGGCGGGGATCGGCTCAGGCGAGGACGCATCGACCCACCATCGCCGATGGGGGCCCTAAGGGCCCACCCCGCCCAGGAACTTGCGGCTTCGATGTCGGCGGCATGTGGGCGATCCATCGGCAAGGCAGTGCCGATTCTAGGTCGATGCTTCTTTCCCTGAGCCGGTCCCACCCTCATGATCGTTTCCCAGACCTCTCGACCATTTACCCCAGGGCCTACTCTTTCATCCCGGGCCGTCTATTCAGTCGCCCCAGGAATCCCAAAAGGCCGACATCGAAGGACATTTGGCCGTCTCTTTTTCGAAGGATGTTCCGGGGGGGGCCAAAAATGCGGTGACCACACCTGGTGTTGGGTGAGTCGGTGGGGATTCGGGGTGGCCGCACGGTTCTGGGACTTGGGTCGCTCTCTGAGGATATTTTTCGGGCGATTGGGAACTGGGGCTTTCGAGGTCCCAGCACAGTGCGGTGCGGTCGGTAGGGGTTCCGAGGGCAACACCCGTTCTGTCACCGCACCGTTTTGGGACCCCAAGATGCCTGGGAGTGACCCATCCATGCCGCCCAAGCGGGGCCCGAGTCCTCCTCCTCGGCCTCCTCGTCCCCCCACCCGCGCCAGCGCCACGAGCGACACAACGGGGGCGGCAAGCTCGCGCGCTGGCTGAGCAACGCTGTGGACCCGAGCGCGCCGCCTCGCTCGCGCCCGCCTTCTCCCCTTCGACGACGACGACGACGACGACGAGCATGCATGCGACGACCACGGCGACAACGACGACTGTGACGACGGCCTTTTTTCAAATTCTTGTCTCTTCGCGTTTCCCCACCAGCCTGTCCAGAAACGATACCCATGAAAGCTGACGGGGGGAGAGAGGACGAGACACGCATAGTCAAACAGCAAGGGAGCATCTTGCGAGTCACGGTGAGCCAGCTTGGGCTATCTTGAGCCACCTTGGAGGTAATCTTGGGCTCTCTGAGGCCGGTCGGGGGCCTCCAGGGTGCCTCTCGGGTGCCTCTTGGAGGCCTCTTGGGGCGACACATCGGGCCCCCTCCCCAAAACACCCAGGGAGGGGAGGGGGAGGTGGAGGGTTCCCGAAGCGAAGAGGTGTCGTGGAAGAGGAAAGAGACCCTTGTTAGACCATCTGCCGCCCAGAGAGCTGGTGGGATTAGTGTTCTGGAGCTTACGGGAGAGGAGGGGGGGGGGGGGACGCTGGGCTCCCTCGTGGCCATGGCTGGACGCAGCTCTCGAGAAGCTGGTCAGGATGGTGTCCTGGGAGAGATCAGGGCTGACGATGACGACTATGCGGACGATGCGGACGACGGCGACGACAACTGCGACGGCCCTCTCGCTCCGCCCGAGAGGTCGGGGTCGTTCTATTGCTTTTCATCCAGAGGCCGCCTCGCCAGCAGCTGCACACGACGACGGCCCTCTTAACCCGCCTGAGAGGTCGGGCCTGTGCAGCCGCTTCTGATGCGGAGCCCGCCTGACCAGCACCCCTGCGCGTACTTCGGCCGCCCGGCCCAGGGATGATCCCGAGTGCCTCCGAGAACTCCGCCCGTGGCCGAGGCCCGCCGCGGCCAGGACGGGCCCCCCGTTCCCGAGCCAGCGCTCCCCAGACCAGAGGGGGCGGGACCACCCGGACCCCCAAAATCTTCGGCGGTTGCTCGTAGGCCCGGGGCGCTGGCCAAGCAGCCCTGCCCCGATTCGATTCTTGCCTTGGGTGCGCGTGCTCCACGGCTCTCCTTGCCGGGTGCTTCTGATGAGTTTGTTTTCCGGCCCGGGTTTCACCGCCCGCCGAGCCACCCCAACCCTTCCCGAAGGCCTCAGCTTGCCTTCCATTTCCAGTGTGGAGGGGGGGTCGGGGAGCATCGACACGAACACAAAAGGAGCCCATACCCCCCCCCCCCCAACCCGACATTCGGGTCTTCGGGTTGGGTTGGGGTGGCCTGGTGGGCAGCCAGGTCTTGCAGCAGCACGAGGGCCGTAAAATCAGGGGGAGCCAGGACGGCCTGCTGTCGAGGGGCCGCCTGTGGCGGCCTGCCCCCCCGCCCGTGACATGCGGCCAAGGCCCGCCGTGGTCCGAAGAGGCCGTCCCGTCCCCCATCCGGCTTTCCCTACGGCAGTGCGCTCGAGGGAGGTCAAGCAGTGCCGAAGCGTCCTGGCGTGCCTATCGGCCTACCAAACACTGTTCTAAGAACCTTGTGTGGTTTCCACGAAATGTTAGAACATGCCTGGCTGGGACTGTCTTGTTTTAACGTATCCGGCTTATGTTCTAAAAACCATGTTACTGTTCTTAGAACATTTCTGGTGTTTCAGAACATTTCGGGGCATTTCGTGGTAGGCCTATAGGAATGCCAGGACGGTCGGTCCCTGCTCAGAGAGGGCAGCCCACCCCCGCACCCACCAGTCTGATTTTTACACTTTTCCCGGGACGCTTGCGGACTCCATCGGCACGCCCCCGCGGCAACGACTGCGAATCGCGACGCTTCTGGTTTAGCGAATCGTTGTATAAATCCGTCTTTGTTTTTTTTCTGAGTGGTCTTTGCTTGCGTGTTGTAAAAACGTTTTTCTGCGTTTATAGAATTGCTGGCGTTCCCTACAGCAGTACGACGGCCGTGAGTCAGGGTGGGCCAGGACGGGTTCTGAGCGGGCTCGACGCGTCATCCACTGGAGTCGAAATTGTGCAGCCAGTTTTCTTTCGTTCAATGGCACACATGGTGCTCGGCAGCAAATCTTGAGAGCCTTGTATGCCCTCGCAGTTCCGTTTTCGGAGTGCTTTAGCATCGATTGGCGTCGGGTAGTCCATGGGATGCTGCCGATTTATCGTCGATCAGCGTCGACCGGCGCTGATTTGCACGAGCCAGCAAGACGGGACGGGCCAGGGAGGCTCCCGTGAATTTCTGCCGAATGTGTTGACGGAAGTGGCCCCGACCCCCCCCCAACAACAACCCCCCTCCCAACAAAACATCAGGGTGAGCCCGGACGGCTTGCTGCAGAGGGGCCGCCCGCGCCGGCCTGCCCCCCGCCCGGGGCGTGTGGCCGAGGCAGCCGCGCGCGCGCGCGGCGGCGGCCCCTTCGAGCGGCGCGGGCTGGCGCCTCGTCCGTTCGGCCGTTGTTCTGGGGCGGGCCCGTGGTCGGGGGATTCGCCCTGCTCCTCTTCTGCCTTCCCCCTCCCCCCCTCGCGTCCCTCCTCCGGTGGGGCGCCGGCCCCACCCGCCGTCGCCTTCGTGGCGCGCGCCTGCGTTCTCCGCGCGCGGACGCGGCAGTCGGCGTCCGTGCGTCCGTCCGTCCTCGCGCCCCTCCCCGCCTCTTCCACTGTGGGCGCACCAGTCGCGTCCGCGTGTGGTCGCGCCGCCCGCCCCCCAGGGGATCGACGGAGGGCCAGCCGAGACCGCGACGGCCATCTCTGGATCTGTCGTCTTTTTTGGGGGCCTCATTTGGGGCCTTGTCGTCGCCACGTCTGGATCCGCCCCGGCATACGTCAGCCACGCGCACATGGGGGGGTTGGGTGGGAGGGGGGAGGGCTTCTGAGAAGCACCCCTGCTTCTTAGCAGGCGCGGGCCTTATCCATAGACGTGAGGCCCGCGCCTTCTAGGGAGCAGCGGTTGAACGAACGTCTGTGCCGACGTCCTCTCCGTCCTCCCTCCCCCTTCCGCCCTCTCTCCCCTTCCCCGTCGCGGCCGTCGCACAAGCTCCGGGAATTCCGGGTTTGGCGAAGGGTGGGAGGAGTTTGCTGACAGGAGGTAGCGCCGGTGGGACGGGTGGGTCAGACGGTAGTGTCAGACGGGAAGTTCACGTCGGGCCTCTCGAACTGGCGCAGGACAGAGCAAGTCAAGGCTGAAGGTTCGGACCAGCTGAGGCGAATTGAGAAAGGAGAGTTGCCCTCGTATCGTGCCAAAGTGCGCCATTGGAAGCTCGGACGGCCCAATGATCGGATTTAGCCAGGACCCCAGATAAGGTGACCCGGTTATTGGTAGGGCCCCGGGGCCCTTGAATAGGTCAGAATCACTCAACCAGGTCTGCCGTAGCTGGTGTTTTTTGGGTGACGGCAGTTCCAGTTAGTGGAACGGGGCGGTGGGGGCCTCCCCCAGTACTCATCACTAAATCAGGTTCCACTGAACCCAGTCCTGCCAACGCCCGACCATGGAGTGTTGACCCAGGTCGGCTCCAGCCTGGAGGCCCAGGCCGAGCAGCTCCCACCGCAAGGTCCGCCGCCCGTGGCCCAACGCGTGGGGGTCGGCGGCGACTTGGGCAGTGCCGGTAAAAACAGGGTGGGACGGGAGTTGTTTTTTGATGATTTGTTTGTTTTGGGGCTCTCGGGCTGTGGGAGGGGGAGCTCGAGCAAGTTCGCGACCTCGGCCGCCAGTCCCTGGAGCGAGGCGAGAACGACAGCGCCGAAGAGCGCGAGTCGGAAGCCGAGCTCGGATGGTTGGGGCTCCACCCCGCGTTTAGCGCAAACCCATAACACCATACAATACTGTCGCCCCCCCCCGTCGCCCGTTCCCCCCCCCTCCTGCCTGCCCAACTCCTGCCCCTACTCTTCGCCCTCCTCCCCCATACCTGCCCAACCCCAGCCCCACCTGTTCCACCTCCCCCGTACCTCGCCCTCCTGCTCCCCTTCCCCCTTCGGCCTGCCCAACCCTTGCCCCCCTCCTCCTCCTGGCCCTCCTCGCCCCCCCCGCTCTCCCCGAGGCCCTCGCCTCTTCCGCCGCCGCCCCCCCCCGCGCTCGAGGTTGACAAGTCATATAGACTCGCTTCGCGACTGGTCTCGTCTCATCGCAGCTTATCCCTTGACCCGCTCGCCCCCACCTTCTCCCCTCCTCGTCTTCGCCTTGACGTTCCCCCTCGCCTCCCTCTCTCCCTTCGCCTCTTTCTCCAGCAAGGACAGGATACCCCGCAACCCACTCGACGAGCGACCCGTGACTGAAACATGGGACGGTGAGGTCCGCTCACTATGGCGGCGAAGCTTCCCATTCCATCCACCACTTCCGCCGCCGAGCATTTCTCACAGCGTGGGCTCGGGTAGTTTTTCCGACCGCATCATTGACGGGCATGTTTTTGTTACGTCTTGTTTTTGTCGACGACTCCAGTTCGCGAAACTCGGGGTGACGATGCATCGTTGATGTCAGAGCGATGCAGCGGCGACGTTTAGAGCATAGACTGGCGGTTAACATCGACGACGCATCGCCGACACATGGGCGATGTATTGGACATTCGATGTCCATGTGTACCACGTCATTATTATCCTCAGCGGCGAGCGAGGGGGGAAGCGAGAACAAAAGGGTCTCCTCAGAAGGCGTCGGGAGTTGTCAGAAGCCCCCGCGCCTTCTGGGAGGTTTCTCGTTTTCCGGAACGCTTAGAAAACTTCCCAAGAGGCTGGGGGACTTCCGAGCCCCCTCGCTCACCGCCAATCTCTCCCCATAGTCGCTGCCCTTCAGAAGCTCCCCCCAGCACGTCCGAAAACCCTCCAACACGTCCGACACCCAACACGTCCGAAACGTCCGAGAACAACACGCCCGACACAACATAGTCGCTGCCCCCAACGTCTCCCCCCATAGTCGAAGTCCCCATCACGTCCGAAAACCCTCCGCAACGAATCGCCGCCGCGCGCGCGAGAAGAGCGGCGGCGGCGGCGGCCGCCAGCGAGGGGCGGCGGGGCTTCGAGGGCGACGGGCGCGACGCCGGCGGCGGTGGTGGCGCTGACGAAGGCCAGGGCGGCGACCTCGACGACGGGGGAAGGAAGGAACGCAGAGGGGGTGGGCGGCGTGCAGTGCTGAGCAGTTCTGCCGCATGCGGGCGCCCGAGGGGGCACACTGCCGCAACTTCTGACTCTGGCCCCCTCCCTCCCCTGCCTCTGGCCTCCCAGTGGTGGCAGCGCGTTGCCTTCAGAGCCTGAAGGAAGGAACGCAGAGGGGGAGAAGGTACCGATAGCGCTGCCCTGGCTGCGTTCTCGCCTCTTCGGGGGCCTCCTGGCAGGCCCTCGTCGCCACCGCTGGACTCGCCTCGAAATGCTGGTCAGAACGCACCCTGGGAGAGGCCCGGGGAGACTCGGTATCGGTACCTTCGGGTTTCCCCAGGGACAGCATGGAGAAGGAAAGAGGAGGGGCGCAAACAAAAATACGGAGTGGTTTGCGCGGACATGGGCGCGTACGCTTCCCGCGCAAGGTCGCGCGGAAGGTACGCGCCTTCGTTTCCAATGTGGCGTGCCGCGGCGTATGGTCGCCTTGCCATTTTGCGCAAGACCCGCTTGCTTTTGTCGCTCAGAGGAGGAGTTGGGAGGAGATGCTGGGAAGGGCGGTCACCCTGCTCTTTTTGCTCTCTTTGATCGTCCTTCCGTTCCAGGTGATGCCTCGTGGGTTGCGGGCGCGGCGGGGCGCCTGCGGCGGTTCTACCGCCGCACTCTGACCCCTCGAGTCTGAGCCTTCCCCAAAGGCACAGAAAGCCTCTCTGAAGGCCAAAGGCCTTATGAGAAGCCCCACCGTCTTCGGAGGGCCTCTTCCTTCTTACTTCCCCCCTCGCTCGCCGCCGAAAGGGGGAGGGTGGGAGGACGAGGTCGCACGGGGCGAGGACGAGGAGAATTCCGTTCCAGAGTGCTCTGGCACGCTCTCAGAGCGATGCGGGACGCTCTGGGAGGGCCGCGACGCTGGGTGCATCCTCCTGAACCGCCAGATCGCAGAGACTCTCGATTCACCCTCGCCCGAATTCGTCGTCCTCCTCCTCCTCCTCCTCCTCGTCCTGGTGTCGTCCCTGCAGGCGCGGAGCGGCGCGGAGCGGCGCGGCGCGGAGCGGCGGCCCGCGGCGGGGCCCCCCGGGCGCCGAGGACGTGTTCTCCTGTTGCAGCCCCGACGCCCGCTTCTGCCGCTCGGCCTCCCCGGGCGCCGATGGCTCCCTCCAGGGCGGGGCCCCCGCCGCCCGCGGGCCTGCGCTCTCTCGCCTGGACATTTGTGTGGCCAAGTCTGATTGCATGGCATGTCGCCGCCACCGTCGTCGTCGTCGTCGTCGTCGTCGTCGTCGTCGTCGTCGTCGTCGTCGTCGTCGTGCTCGCGCCCGTCGTCGTCGTCGCCGCCGTCGTCGTGGTCTTGGCCGTCGTCGTCGTCGTGGTCGTCGTGGTCGTCGTGGTCGCCGTCCGCGTCCGCGTCCGCGTCCGCCGCCGCCCCCTCTTTCCAGACCTCCAGCGTGTCGAAAAGTTATAAGTTTGACGGTTTGCGCCGTGTTTTAGGCCTGAGGGGGGGCCCTGGCCGGGCCCTGGGACCGTCACAAAGACGCCTCGTGCTGAGAAACCGCTGCCGAGGAACTTGTCGGACTTCTGGGGACCGCGCATTGAACAAATCAATTCGTCGGATCTCTTCCTCTTTTCATTCAGTGCTGGGCCAGAAGAGCGTGCAAGCAACTTTCGTCTGGCGTGCTCTCCAGCTGGGCTCGCCGGGCAGCCCCTCCCCCACCCCTGCATACAAGCAAATTCACTAGAATTTTACTCAAAGCAAGCACTCTGGCGGCCCCCAGGCGGCCCCCGGGCGGGCACGCGGCAGCCCTCCGGCGGCCCTCGGCAGCAGCGGTGACGGCGTCTTCATTGCCCTCGCCTTTGCACTCGTCCGCCGTCGCCGACGCCGCCGCCACCGTCGTCGTCGTCGTCGCCGTCGTCACCGTCGTCACCGTCGTCTTCCATCGTCTGCCGTCCGTCGTCAGTCGTTGGTCATTCGTCGTCGTTCGTCGTCCGTCGTCGTCGTCGTCGTCGTCGTCGTCGTCGTCGTCGTCGTCGTCGTCGTCGTCGTCGTCGTCGTCGTCGTCGTGGTCGTGGTCGTGGTCGTGGTCGTGGTCGTGGTCGTGGTCGTGGTCGTGGTCGTGGTCGTGGTTGTCGTCGTCAGCGCCGGGCACTCAGAGTCATGAACAATATAGAGACGGCTAGTGATACTTCAGTTTGGGCTTCTATGGGCCCGTTTCGGCCCAAGAGGATCCCAAGATGGCCCAAGATGGGCCCAAGATGGCCACTCGACGGCCCCACGGGCTATCCAGATTGTCCAAGGGGGCCCGAAGACGACTTTCAAGAGGCCCCCGAGAGACAAACATTCTGTGTGTTACGGGTTTCGGCACATGTTTGGCATTTTCAACTTCTCGGTCTCCGGAGCGCCCGAGACGGCCGCAAGGGCCCCCGAGATCGTTCCAAGATGGCCCACTAGGCGCCCAAGAGGGCCCTAAGACGAGCCCAGGACGGCCCACGAGGGGTCCAGTCCGAGACGACCCCATTGGGGCTTCTTGGAGCGACTTGAAGACGCTCCAAGAGGGCCCCCAGAGGGGTTCCAGACTGCCCAAGAGGACCCCAAGGCAGCCCACAATTGGGCCCCCGGACCGCCCAGGCCCCCAAGATTGCCTTGAGGGGCCAAGACGGCCCCAGAGGGACCCAAGACGGCCCAGGAGCCCCCAAGACTGCCTGAAAACGGCCCCAAGAGACCCCGAAGAGGGCCCACTCGGGACCCTGCCACTCGGGACCCTGCATTAGTACTGCGACGGTCAGAAATTCAAAACATCTCTCTCTCTCTCTCTTTTTTTTTTTCTCTCTCTCTCTCTCTCTCTCCTTCTCTCTCTACCACTCTCTCTCTCTCTCTCTCGCTCTCTCTCTCCCTCTCTCTCTCTCGCTCCTTTTCCTGTTTTGTTTTCTCTCTCTATATCCCTTTGTGTGTATATGTACATATATACACATACACATATATATATATATATATATATATATATATATAGATCCCTTGGGGGCAGGACCGGGGCCCACAAACAGCTTCCCCGACTCCCCATGGGAGGACGGGGCGGCCGGGGAGGTCCAAAATAGTCCAGGAGGGCCTTCAGAGGCTCCCCAGGCGGCCCAAGCGGGCTCCGAGTCGCCGAAAGACCGCTCCAGGACGCCCAAGAGAGGCCCAAGACGGCCCGAGAGGCCCCCCAGGGTACTCCACGACGCTTCAAGACGCCTCTCCAGAGCGCTTCAAGAGGCCGAAATCGTCAATTACACTTCAGGTTTTGGAGCGATGTTGCCCTTCCAGCCTTTTCGGCTGTCCGACGTTCCAAGACGGCTCAATAGGCCCCCAAGAGCGCCCCAAGACGGCCCGAGAGGGCCCCAAGACGGCCCCAGGGGCGCCCAAGGCAGCCCAAGAGAGCCCCAAGACGGCCCCAAGATGCGCCAAGAGGGTGACCATGACTGCAAAATTCGAGGCACCCAGGATGCCAAAACAAGGCCTCAAGAGGCCACAAAACAGCCCCGAGGAGGCCTCACAACGGTCCCAAAACGGCTACCGAGGAGCTACCGTCAGGCCTCTCCAGGCCCGCAGAGACAGGCGGGCCCCCCCAGCCACATGATTTGATCGGTCCTCGGGTCGCGGCGTGTCGTGCCGCTACGACCGCGCTCCCTCGGCGGGCCGATCCCCCTCTTCCTCCTCTTCCTTTTCCTTTTCCTCCTCCTCCTCCTCCTCCTCCTCCTCCTCCTGCTCCTCCTCTTCCTCCTCCTCCTGCTCCTCCTCTTCCTCCTCCTCCTCCTCCTCCTCCTCCTCCTCCTCTCCCACCTCCTCCTCCTCCTCCGTTTGGTCTTATTCCTCCTCCTCCTCCTACTCCTCCTCTTCCTCCTCCTCTTCCATCAAGGAACGTCTCAGGATGAAGAGCCGTCCCCGGGGAAAGGGTCGGGACTTCGGGGGCCGCGTAGGACGTCGCATGTTTGTGCTATCCACGTCCCAGTTTCCGCGCGTCAGCGTCCCGAGCTTTCCGAACCAACCCGCCCCGCGGATCGCAACGACACGCTATCCACTCGCGTGGGCCGTAGCGTGTCGCCAGGGCCGCCGTCGCGACATGCGAAAGAAACGTTCCCGGCCGTAATTAGCCTCTGAGGTGGGCGGCAGGGGGGGTCAGGGCCTAAGCTGGGCCCCGCTTTGGAGCCTGACCCCCCCCATCGGGTGCTTTAATCGTGCTCCGCCTCGGGTTTCTGTGTTTCACGTGGTACCGCCGTGGATCCCTGAGTTTTTGGTCCTGGGCTGAAGGCCGCGGACCGTCCCTTGGAAGAGTTCCTGCGTGGACGTCGGCTGTGGTAGGGTTTCACGAGACCCACCGCTCTGTCGCACGCTGAGGACACTGAGGAGACGAGGAACGCTGCGAGCCACGTTACTGAGAGTCTGGCCACTGCAAGACCCCGACATCTGGCGCTCCAGTTGTTTTGGTGCGTGGACCCCCAGAGGTCTGGCCACCTTCCCTACGGCCTGTTTAAACTCCCGTGCGCCCGCGCGCCCCGCCGCTTTTGTCCGCCCCTCGCCGTCCTCGATCTCGGCCTCTGTCGCTTTGGGCGAGGCCTAGCTGTCCAAAGATGACCGCCAACAAATCGCCAGAGCAGCCGCCAAAAAAGAGGCACCAAGAAGCCACGAATAGGCCCCCAGGAAGCCCCAACCTCCAGTCCCAGGCTTTGGCGTGCCCCCGAGAGCGTGTCCGTTTCCCCTTATCCCTCGCTGTCCGTTTTTCTTGATATCTCTCCTGGTCTTGGGTGTCTTGCGTCTCACGTTCCACATTCTTCTTTGTTCTCTCGACCTCCCTCCTCCCCGCTGCGTGATTTTCCCTCATTCCTCCACCTTGTCTCTCCTTCACGCCTTCCCCTCTCCGCCTCCCTCATGCTGTTTCGGCTCCTCCATCCCTCATCCCCATCTCTCCGTCACTTCGCCCTCCCTCAGCCTCCCTCGCCCAGCATCCTGCACCACCATGTGGTTGGAAACCCAGCTTGGCAAAAAAGGGGAAGCCCTCAAACATTTTTTCAACGTCCTCCCCCCCTTTGTTTCCCTCTCCCAGACTTTGGCGTGCCCCCGAGTGCGTTTCCGCTTCCCCCCAGCACTCGCGGTCCTTTCTTCCTGATCACTCTTTCGTGCTCTTGGTTCTCCTGCGCCTCCCGTTTCACATCCACCTTCTTTCTCTCCTCTTCTCTCTTCCCTCCTGTGTCATGTTCCTTCCTACCTCTTTTCGTCTCTTCTTCGTGCCTTCCTCTCTCAGCCTCTCTCGTGCGTTTCCGTCTTCCACACCCTTCGCTGTTTGTTCTCCGGGATCTCTCCCTTTCTCTCGGTTCTCCTGCGTCTCCCGTTCTTCGTCCTCATTCCTCTCCCACTCCCTTCTCCCCGCTGCGTCCGTTTCCCTCGTCCCTCCGCTTCGTTTCTCTTTCACGCCTGGTTCTTCAATGATGTTGACTTCTCGAGCGCTTACCCGTAGCTTTTGGGGGGACTCGTGGAGGCTTCTTGGGGCGATCTTGGGTGCTCTTGGGGGCCTCCAGAGCCTCCTTGGAAACAAAGACTTCCCCTCCACGTTCTTGTTTTCATGGTCGACCACCCTCACCCGTTCCCTCCTGTCCCAGGTTTCTGCGTGCCCCCGAGTGCCTTTCTGTTTCCCTCATCCCTCGTTGTCTGTTTTCTTTGCTCTCTCTCTCTATACCTCTCCTGCTCTTGGGTGTCTTGCGCCTCACTTTCCACATGTTTCTCCTTCTTCTCCGCCTCCCTCCTCCCCGCTGAGTCGTGTTCCCTCCCTCCCCCTCGCCTCTCCTTCACGCCTTCTTCACGCCCCCTCTCAGCGAGATTTGCAGCGGGCGCGTCGGGACAGCGGCCAGACCTACACAAGCAGTTCATCGGAGAGACTGGCGACAGGGTGGCCGTTGCCCTCTTCCGAAGTTTTGCCAATCTGCTCGCGTCTGGCCAAGCCCAGCCAGAGCTGCGGGCGTACATCGGGAGTGCGAAGGGCACCGCGCTGCGAAAGATTGCCGAGGATGGGTCAGAGGACGCTAGGCCCGCGTGCTCTGGAGAAAAACCATTCGACGAGTTGTCAGCAAGATCATGTTAGGAACGGAAATGCAGTCGTTGGGAGAGCAGTTCTTGCCACACCAGCTGGCCGTGGGCGT